AATAAGAAAATTTCGAATATAATTTTGGTAAATATTTTGAACCCTTATTAATTATGGATAAAAGGGTCAATTCTTTATGGTTTTAATTGATAAAATGCAAGTATTGCAGTCAAGTGGTATAGACAAAGTTAATGAAATCACATTGTATTCTGTGATTACGAAAATAAATACATGTGAATAGACATATAACTTAAATATATTTTATTTCAATAATAAAATTAGCTGCAAAAGGATGACTCAAATTTAATGCTGCTAATATCACATATTTGGACTAAATAAATTGTTATATTGTTACAACTGGTAATACTAAATGTATTCAATACGGTCATAGAAGCATACATTGGGTATCTCTTTATTCCCTAGTTTCCTTAAAGGATATAATTAAGGAGATAAAATAAAGTGAAGAAAGTCTTATAAATATGGTATCAGAAATGAATACCTAATGAAATATGCGTCTTTAAGGATTAGCGTAATTTACGTCACAATGTTGCACGCAAAAGAAAATATTACGGCAAATAAATTTTCAATCTAGTATGATGAAATGTTGATTCATATGGGAAAGAAATAGAAAGGGAGAAACCGGGAAAAAAGAAGGTAGAAGAAGTACGTTTCACTCTAGGTCTGCTAATGGACTCAATAGAGCTATTTAGGAAATTCATGTTTTAGATGCGGAAGACAGTTAGGCTCAGGTCAAAGGTTGTATTTGTATGAGTACAAGCCTAAGCGAGGACTTGCGAAAAAAGTTCGGCAATTAATTCCTCTGGTAACGGAGTGTAGGAAGTATCGCCACACTAGAATCTGCCGGTCATTACCGAATTATCTTTTCATACAAGGAAATGGTGGCAATTTTTGTATTTATCTACCATAACATTGCAACATAAGTATTGTTAATCTTTCAAGACGTATACTTTACTAAATATCGGTTTTTTATATCATATTCATAGAACGTTGTTCACTCCATTTTCCCCCCACAATAACATTCTTAAGGAAATCAAAAAGTAACAGGACACCTACATAATAAACATAGGTATATTCGCATGCCTACAATGATTATAATAATGTTTCGTAATAACAATATAATAATAGTAATTGCGGTAATAGCAATAGAGTCTGATTTATACTATCTGTTCAGATACAGGCGGTATCGACACAATTCCGTTCAAAGTCACTTAGTGTTTCTATAATTAGTTCACATTCGACACAAGATTCCATGCACAATAGTGTTTATTATTTGTTTATTATTATTCATTATGAAAGTATATATTTGTTAATTGTAATGTCCGGTTCTGAACATTTGGATAACTTCAGATACGTGTTGTAATGAACGGATGTTCTTGATGAAATTGATAATCGGCTTGTGTCTGAAGTGCAATGTATCTGAATTAATTCGCTAAGTTGTGTGTATGTGCACGCGCTCGCGCGTAAATATTTGTATACACGCGTAAAT